TAACGAGAAGGAATTACTGCAACGAGTGTTCAAGAAATTCGAAGTCAAATTCACACTTATACGATCAAAGTTTAAAGTCGACGACCGAGTACGAATCAGCAAATTAAAACACATTTTCGAGAAAGGCTACACACCCAATTGGACAACTTAAATTTTCACGATAAGTCGAGTAAAGAATACCGATCTGGTGACGTACAATCTCAAGAATTACCAGGATCATCCCATCGAAGGTGGCTTCTATGAACATGAACTTACCAGCGTCAAGTATCTCGACATATATCTTGTGGAAAAGGTACTCAGGAAACGTGGAAAACAGCTATTTGTGAAATGGTTAGGGTTTGATGATTCGCACAATAGTTGGATCGATAAGTCGGATTTGTAGGTTTCACCAAGGATGGACCAAGGTATTGAGACGTTTTGTGATTTTTGAGCGTTAGGAATCACCAGACTTTTTGTGGAGTTTGTGCACTGGGCAGGCGTCTTCAGAAACAATTAGATACTGGAGTTTTTAAAATGAGAAAATAATGATATATTGTCCTATAAGTTACAGACGGGAGGGACCCAGATGCGCACAGACCACTTGCCCACGGACCACTTGCGCACGGATTGAATACTTCGTCGACCCAGATGCCCACGGCCTACTTGCACACGGATCTCGTAACATGCACGGACCCAGATGCCCACGGCCGACTTGCGCACAGACTGAAATCTCTATCGACCCAGATGCCCACAGACCCACATGCCCACGACCCACGTGCGCACGGATTGACATCTTCATCGACCCAGATGCCCACAGACCCACATGCCCACGGCCCACTTTCGCACGGATTGAAATCTTCATCGACCCAGATGACCACAGACCCACATGCCCACGGCCCACTTGCGCACAGACTGAAATTTTAGTGAAGCCAGATGTCCACGGCACACTTACGCACAGATTTCTACCCCACTAGCGGATACCGTATCGTCATATATCAATATAGCATGGACTATTAAAGTAAATTAGGTTAGGATAGGTTAGAATAGGATGGAATGTTTAAATCTCGGAGACTGGGTAGGTTAGTGGATAAGTATTTTGTCGGTGAGCGAGCGAAGCGAGCGAGCCCGACTGAAGAGAGCATTAAATGTCTTAAAAGGTTCCGGCAGAGAATGATAACTTACAATATCCTTAAATTACTGATAGAATATCGTTTAGGAGGTAGAAATTCGCTTTCGTGTTCATTTGGGTTTGTGCGCAAGTGGGCTGTGGGCATCTGGTCAAGGTATATTTCAACCCGTGCGAAAGTGGTCCGTGGGCATTTTGGGTCTGTGGGCATCTGGGTCGATGAAGATTTCAATCCGTGTGCAAGTGGGCCGTGGGCATGTGGGTCTGTGGGCATCTGGGTCGATAGAGATTTCAGTCTGTGCGCAAGTGGGCCGTGGGCATCTGGGTCGACGAAGAATTCAATCCGTGCGCAGGCGGTCCGTGGGCAACTGGGTCTGTGGGCAAGTGGGCTGTGGGCAAACGGTCCGTGCGCATCTGGTTCCGTGGGCAAGTGGTCTGTGCGCATCTGGACACCACTCGTTACAGACTAGGTATCCTTAATATTCTATTTTGTTTCTCTCACACATGCACACACTTTTATAATTGTCCCTCGTTTGCTAGTCGTACCGTAGGCGACAAGAAGTGTTTTTGTTTATGTACTCTTTCTGCTAGCCGTTTGGGATCGAGAGAGAGGTAGCTGGAACCACAATACAGCAAAGTGCACAATGCGTCCGAAGACTGTGGTCCAGTTCATGGTGAGAATGATAATGATTCGGGACCCACAGGTGATCACGATGATCCCCGTTCGCCGAGCCAATTATCTTTGGGTTGAGGATGCGAGTGCTATCACCACAATACAGCAGAGTGCACAATGCGTCCGAAGATTTGTGGTGCACCAGAGGTCTAGAGAGTGATGATTCAGAACCCACAGATGATCACAATGACCTCCGTTCGCTGTATCTTCACTTGGGAAGGGTTTTTGGTAATGTTGATTCTGGAGAGTTGCTGACAGCGCCGGCACTATGACGTTGCTGCAGGAACTCTTTTTGAGAAGTGCAGGTTTCTTAACAATTGAACTTTCTATAAATTCTACTGCTTCTTGTCGTCTAGTGGTGTACAAGTATCTAGTGGATTAGTCTAGAGAGACACGAATGAATTTTCGTTTCGAATTTTCATACGTTAAAACTAGTGGGGATAACGATTTTTATCCACCCGAGGTGTTAACGTCGCTTTTTGAATTCAATATTTTGATTTACGATTGGATTTGACTATTTGATTTGACTAATTTGATTAGCGGTTTCTTCAAGTACCGGCTTACTGATATTTCTATTGTATTCGGCGCGTGCCGGCTTATAGCGTCTGGGCACTTGTTTGTTTTGATTTCAGACTGTCGACTGTATTTCGGATTCTAGGAATTTTAAAAGTAATAATTTCTAATATTATTTCCTCATGACTGTCGCTGTAACTAGTTTCAAGAGAATTACGCAATATTAGATATTTAACAGTCTTGTATTCCCTTTCCTCTATCGGCGTCGCTGTGAGAGGTCGATAGGATTATGGAGGAATTCTAGGATTTGAGGAGTTCTCTCAGACACTGTTATGCACATCCACAGTGCGCTATGTACTCTTATGTGGGGCTGTTGACGTATCAATCATCGAGAAAGGGTGATTAGGAAGGAAAAAGGATAGAGGTTGGGGCCTATAAGGATGGAACGTTACAGTATGGAAATGGATTATTTTTTTTTATTTAGTACACTATTTCTGCTACTAATGCTACTACTGCTACTATTGCTACTACTACTACTACTGCTGCTGCGGCTGCTGCTGCTGCTGCTGCTACTGCTGCTACTACTACTGTTGTTGTTCACATTACTGTAAAACCAAAAGATTATTTGTTATAATCAAATTAAATTTATTAAAATTAATGAAAAATTCATAATCGACAGTATACAATATCATGAAAATAAATAAAAGAATGAAAAATACTTTGTGACGTGCTGGGCAGATTATTACTGCCCAGAGTCCGCGCAAACTAGCTATCGCAATACACAGGGGGAAGGGGAACGCAAAAAGAAAGGGGAACACAGGGTAAGATAGAAAGAATATAATTAACAAGTGAAATGCCGGTGTACAGAAGACTTAGGAAATAACGCAACGAAAAAGACAGAAAAAAAAGGTACTCAAAAAGAAACTAGAATGTTCGCAATGTGATGACGCAAAAGATGCAACTCTAGACTACACGCAATCAAAACAATACACGCGGGTGCTCGCTCGGGAGCACGTGGTGTCGGAAGGGACCTTTAAACGGGCTGATGGGAAGGGGAGTCGGAGAACGGAGGGGTATGGTATGGGCAAAGGGACAGGAGGGGTTACCGGCACGAAATGTTACGCAAACACAATACTTTGGGCGCCAGCTAATTATACGGCGTAGCACCGTCGAGTGACCTCAGAAGGTCCTCGAATATTTACTAGAATTTGAAAAGGCACGGCTAGCGGGAGAAGAGGTCAGGGGTCTCAGGGAGGAAGGTTCCCGAACGCGATAATGGCTACTTACAAACACCTCAGGCTTTACAATATTCAAAAACGGCGGGGAAGGGAAAGGGCACGGGGTTTTCCAAAAAGGGTGCAAGATACAATACTATTGTAAGTTAGAACGCCCGCTATATACCACTGGCTGCACGCGGTTTGCGGAAGGCCAGGCTAACACTTAAAAAGATCTACTAACGCAAAAGGCCGGTCCATGTGGGGACGGGTCGTAATATCCTAAAAGGGAAATCTACTATTTCTCAAACGGTAAAGCAAACAAGCTGGAAGTTGAAACTTGCAATTTGCTTCCTCCGAATCATAAGTAGTGTACGAAGTCCCTATATGAGGATGCCAAGAATTTTAATTTTGCAATTGGCTTCCTCTGAATCGTGGGTAGTAGATGAAAATTCATCTATGAGGAAGCCAAAGATTAAAAAAAATGAAAATGCTTCCTCATATAAGGACTTCGTACACTACTTATGATTCGGAGGAAGCAAATTGCAAGTTTCAACTTGCAGCTTGTTTAACGTGAGTCCCCATGCCTCTCACAACTTGGGGTGCTTCATACTGTAGAAAACGCATGTAAGGATAAATCTCTTCAATGATCTCTTCGGGCCTAATATTTTTGAATTGGCTGAAATTTAAAAACTTGAAGATATGTATAATCAGATCCGTTTTACCAATCTCCGCCAAATTTGAGACATGTCACGGCTAAATGATACTCTATACTTTTCGAAAATTGGAGCTCAATCGGTCAAAGTTGACGGGAGTTATATTGATAAATTTAATTTTTCGAAAAATTCAAAATATCATAAAATCAAAACTTCTCGATCGATTCGGTCCAAATGCAATACCAACCAACCTTGGATACATATCTCTTTGTCAAGAACTATTTAGATGATTATCACAAAATTTGCGATCGCTAGAGTGCGAACGTCCTTTTTTTGAAAATTTGAAAATGACATCAATTTTGAGCCACAGCTTGAATCATGACGAAAATTATAGTCAATGAAGGGATTATACAGCTGCATATGCCTGCAAAATTGGGAGACTGTAGATAAAACCGTTCTCGAGTTATACACGTTTGAATTTTGGGAGGTTATTACACACACACACACACACACATATACATCCGGACATTTTCTCCAAACGTGATTTCTCGACGTTTTGGCACATTCTGGACATGGTGACATGAATATCTCGACAGGAAAATTTTTCACAGTCACATAGCTTCCTCTATGAGGAAGCAAAAGGGGGTAGGGAAGGGAGAAAAGGAAAACGCAATCATACGCGAAACAGTACTCACTCAGTACTCTCGATATAATCCAATATTCGCAACAATCACTCTCACTCTCCACATTATCGCAAAATTCGCACTATCTCGCACGCTACCCTGGCTCAAAGTGAAGATCTCTTGCCGATTTCTGGTCCTCGTTGTTTTCGTTCACAGGCCTCCAGGGCATCGGGGATTGGTTGGATCGCTGGGCTGAGAGGGCTACGTGCTCTGGCATTGGTCGGCAGTTCCGGCATGGCAGGGTATTGGTCCTTTCCGCTGGTGGGCCTTCCAGGGCCTCGCGGGCGGGTGGCACGGCGCTGGCTTCGCCGGCGCGCGGGCTGGCTGTCGCGCACCGGCAACATGGCGGCCTCCAGGCCTGTCAAAATTCCTCCCGGGCACATCCGCGGTTTCGGTGGAAGGGGGCTCCACCGTTGTCACACAGGCCTCTTTACTACCCGTGTGACGAGACTGCACCGGGACTGCGTCTCTGTGGCGATGGTGGCGGGCTGGTGGGCATCATCCCATGGGAGTCTCGATCAGCTGTTTCCCCACTGCCCATGCCATCCCTGCCTTCCGTTGCCTCGGCAACGTAGCCACTCTTTCAATCCTTCCTGGAATGCTGTTGTCCTCGTTGATGGTCCACGATGGAAGTCCTCGAGCCAGTGCCCCACGGGGAATGCGACAGGGGGAAGGGGGGGAGGGATCTTATCCTAAGTACAATAGACCTAAAACACTAAATAGACGCAATAAACAGTAATTCCCAATACAGCACGTAATACACGTGCTCGGGGCCAGTGGTGCCCTCGAGCCAGGTGACGGGGAGGGGTTTATTGTAACATTTTTGTTACAACTTATAATAATTCTTCAATGCTTACCTTATGAATCTAATTTGATTATTATTCACTTCATTAATGGCCGTAACGCCATTAATATCTATTACACATAAAATGTGATTAAGCGCACTGCTCATTCTTAAAGCGTTTTCCATTGCTATACGGGTACTTTGTTGTAACCCATCTTGTACCCATTCAATGGGTACGAAAACGTTCGGAAGAAGTTGAACGTAAAAGATCTCCTCAGCCATTTTTTGAACTTAGTCGTAGCAGTGTCAAGCGCTATTTTAAAGCGTTCTCCCTACCTCTAAACTTTCTGTGTGACAAAGAGTGTGAGAGACTTCTTAGAATTATTTATTAAGATAACGAATAGAAGGAATAATCCAGATGGTTAGGAACTTGTGTTACATTCAAGGATTAAATGATATGCAATAACGTAAAGTATACGTTGTATTTTTTTTCAATGTTTGTTTTTATTTTTTGTTTTGTTATATAAATGTATTATATATTTTCTTACATATTATTTACATTTGTACAGAATATTTACATTTGTACATTCTTATTATTATATACTGTGACTTGGTGGATTTCACCCGTCTTGTCCTCGGGTCGGTTGTCGTATTTTGGTAAACGCGGATTAGCCGTGTTACGACTTTGGCTTTGAATTCGTACGGTACGCGAAGTACCCGTTACTATTGTTTGATTGAACTTTGTTTTTGTCTTTTCGATCTATATGAATTACTATTTCATTTGTAAATAATTACTTCGGTATTGTAAGAGATCGTCGCGCTTCGCGTCGCCGATTTTAGTTAATAAACCGAACCATTTCTTGAGATCGAAGTGTCCGAATAATTTTGTGTGTCGCGTGATCGTCTGACCCATCCGACCTATTGTTCCGAATCCCGCCGCCTCCGCGTAGCTAAGTTAGCCAACGTAGGCACGCGAAGACATATTGTAGAGACTGATACGTGGTTCCCGTTTTGGAACCTGGCGCCCAACAATACCTTAGGTATTTTCGAGAGTGAAATTTGTTAGCCCCTGGGTTGCCTGGAACGCGTAGGAATCGCGTAAGTTGTGCGCCGGTCGATCTTGCATTTTCCGGTGAGGTCGATCGCGTAAAAATACGTCACAGTATATATATGTTATACAACATAACTTCGTAAATCGCGTCGGTAACATACCAGCCTTCAGCTTCAATATCGTTCACTTTGAATTCAATAATAATGGATAAATTCTAAACAAACGAAAAACAAATATTGTTCTTTAGTCTATTATAGAATTATCCAGAAATAAAAAGCAAATAATTCATTTAAGTTGTTTAATATATAACACCACCGGTATCAGTTGAACGTCGATTCAGGAATACCAACGTCAAAAATCGTCAGGCGTTGACACATTTAAGGCCTTCACACACAAAACGACGTAACGACTTAACCCTTAGCTGGATCCTTTGTCTGTGATAACATAGCTGACGAGTGGGGTCATTGAAGACCCCAAAGAAAATTTAGTTATAAAATCAACTGTTTTTAATATTTTGGCTTGAAATTTTTTTTGGTTATATCTTAATACATATTTTTTAAGATAAAACCTTCTGTAGATCGAATTTTTTTTAGATTTAAAAGAAAATTTAGTTATAAAATCAACTGTTTAACAAATATTGTTCTTTAGTCTATTATAGAATTATCCAGAAATAAAAAGCAAATAATTCATTTAAGTTGTTTAATATATAACACCACCGGTATCAGTTGAACGTCGATTCAGGAATACCAACGTCAAAAATCGTCAGGCGTTGACACATTTAAGGCCTTCACACACAAAACGACGTAACGACTTAACCCTTAGCTGGATCCTTTGTCTGTGATAACATAGCTGACGAGTGGGGTCATTGAAGACCCCAAAGAAAATTTAGTTATAAAATCAACTGTTTTTAATATTTTGGCTTGAAATTTTTTTTGGTTATATCTTAATACATATTTTTTAAGATAAAACCTTCTGTAGATCGAATTTTTTTTAGATTTAAAAAAAAATTAAAAACTTAAAAAAACGCGAAAAAATGACATTTTATAGAAAAAAATCGATAATTTTAAAAATTGTTAATATTAACACATTGTTGACCGGCAATTATACTGAAAATTTATCTCATGTCACCGGCTATTATTTCGTAATTCGATGTGGAAGTAAAACAATAAAAATAAACTTTAATAAATTTTATTTATTATCCAACTTTTAATATTTATTTTTCGTATGATAAGCAGTATAACAATCACCTACGTGTAATGGTACACAACAACTTTTACAAATGTATCTAGTTTCGCTTCGTTTTCCCTTTGAAGAGCATACTCTACACGCTCTAGTCGGATTTGCTTTTCTGGCAGTGACTATTTTTTCTAGGACGTGGTCTCTTACTTGTCCGGAAAGCCTGAAGGGTGTGTCTTTATAAGGAGCTGTTTTACAAATTCGAGAAGTGTCAGGTGCAATGCTACATTCTTTGAAATCCACACTTCTCCATCCCCTAGCTACTTCCAGTAGAAATTTTTTGTATCTTGTTTTATTTTCTGGCAGATAGGTACAGTACAGTTTATAAGCATTGAACAAGGTGCAGTTTATCAGAAAAAATGCAAATTTTTTGTACCACTTTACAGTTTTTCGTAAAATACTGCTGTTCGCCAAGTACTGATCTGCACGATCTACCCCTTTCATATGTTTATTGTACTGCAGTATACACGTAGGTTTGATTGTATCGTGCATATAATTTTTTTTTCGATTTCCACTTGATTTCATGGAAGCATCATGAATAGTTGATATCATCCGTACTATTCTTTTATCCTTCCAAGCAATATGGATAACAGGTCCCTTCCGTAAAAAAGTCATTTCTCCTCTGTGTAGACTTTTGGATTTTTCTATCAGGATCTTTGGTAAGCCACGGTTTTGCAGAAATTTTATGTACCTCTTTCATTTGAGAATGGTACAAATTGGTCTGCGTAACGACTAAATCAAAAAAACCACTATCAAAAAATAAAGCCGTCACCTCACTGATAGTCGGCGTGTCACCAAGCTCAATATTTGCACCAGTAATATTTAAATAATTCTGTAAGTATGGTGTAATATCATGTTCGTTCCACTCTTTTTCCAAATCATCGTCACTATCTGATGCTATTATATTCCTTTTTTTATATTTTGGTGGCCTAACATCAGAGTCGCTATCTTCTGATACAGTATCATTTTCACAGTTACCACAATTTGATTCACAATCACTCGGATAATCAGATAAAGCATCCGCGTATAATTCATTTAAAGATTCTTCATTACGTTTCGCCATCGTTTTCTAAGTTTTTTAAATTATTAAATACTTTTTACAACAAAATATTTGGCGGGTCTTATAAGCGAGAGAAACAGCTTGTGTTATACTGACCAACAACTGCACTGTATGGTCGCCAATAGAGAAAACAACAGCGATGCGAAAAAAAAACGCATCACGAGTTTACTCGTGGCCGGTCAACAACGTTCGGCCATAGAAACACGAGTTAACTCGTGACCGGTCAACAATGTGTTAAGAGCTAAAAATTTAGTTTTACATAGCCGAGATATAGTTCTAGAAGATACCATCAAGAATTTGTATGTCCTTTTAAGAAAAGGTATTTATTCTGAGAAATGATTGCATGCATTTTTTAAATAATTGAAAAAAATAATTTTTTCGAAAAAAGTAATTTATTTAGTTGAAAATGAAGTTATTATAAATTGAGAATGTTGAAAAAACTTGTTTTTATTACATTACACACATATTCAAAAAGTAAAAATGTATTTGTAATGAATTTATCTGTTACAACATTCATTACAAAAGCTAAGACGATGATCGTTACAAATAGATTTTGTGCATGAGGCGCAGCCTTGCGATGTCTTTTTATCTTTTTTTCTTGGGCATACAGAATATCTTTGTCTATTATCAAAATGGACACTTTCAAAATCTCTTACGATAGGTAAATCAACTACTACAATCGATTGAATTCCAACTTTGATAGGTCTTGGCAAATAAGACACTTAAATAACGCAGCTGGATACCTGGGGTCGCTGGCGGCACCAGTGTACTTCGGAGCACTGCACAAGCAAGACTGACGCTCCGAGATTTATCGAAAACATGCTTAAGGGAATTGGTACAGATGCTCTATCGACAGATGGTGCCATAAGTCTGATTTTTAAATCCTGAATGTACGAGAATCGCGATTGAAAAATAGCTAGGTCAAATTGACCCCACGGATCCAGCTAAGGGTTAAGACGTAAGCGTAAGAAAACCAACCAATCAGAATCTAGTTCTGTCCCCTTCACTTTTCTCCGTAAGACGTAAGCCGTAGTGGCCAAAAATATCGTAAGGATGAAATCGTTACGGCTTACTTCTTACGGACAACCAATCACAAACCTCGCGTTCTCGCTTAAAAGAACATTGTTTATACGTGAGACGAGTGGCTTTGATGTGCTTTGATATTGAATAAAACCAGCAATGAGTGATCATAAGCAATATTGTTCAATAATGTATTGTAATAAATAAAATTATAGTACGTACAATGACGACACTTTGATAAAAATGCGCAATTCTCTCTTGAGTGTGATTGGTCGTAGCTTACTCCTTACGCGTGTGGTGTGCGATGGTGCTTACTGATTACGGCTTACGATTACGTCTTACGTCGTTACGTCGTTTCGTGTGTGAAGACCTTTAAGGGCTATCTACAATGAGACGTAACCATAAGACGCATGACGGAAGTCGTTGTCGGTAGACGGAACGTGCGTTCCACAATGAAGTCGTTTACCGGAAGCGTTTGACGGATGTCGTAGTCGGCTGTCGTAAGAGAGATGACCAACTCCCATCTCTTCCGTCTTCCGTCTTCCAACAACGTTAACGTGCTCGCCGGTGACAACACCGCCCTCTGCCACAAAACATTCTGTACTCTGATTGGCTGCGGAATCGAAGTGTCACGCGTTACGGTAACGACATTGTGGATTCATGTCGGAACGAAGTTGGAACGCTGCCCCATCTCCGACAGCACGACAACGACAACGACTAACGCTTCCGCCTAGTGCTTACGACAACGTCTCATTGTAGATAGCCCTTTACCGAGCTTTTTCGAGGTAAACAAAATGTTCCAATAACATTAACCTAATACTTTTTCCATGCAATAAATATTATTTCCTATTATAATCTTACGAATCAACATAATTTCAATTATATACAACCCTTATTTTATTACATAATAAAGATATATATTCGTTGTTTTCACGTTAACGGCCCTTAGAGAGAAGCTTCGTCTTTTTTTAATTATTTATCTATCCGATTAAAAAGCTATAATTGATGTGTATTTCATGAGTGTAGATTGCTTAAGTAACAAAATAACATCAAATACGTATTTATTGTGCACCTAATAAATTATTTTATTCTATCAGCTCGGTTGACTAGTACGTAGCGCTCCACCCTCCT